CCCCCCCCCCCCCCCCCGTTTAGATTTTCTCCAGTCCAGTGCATTCAGAATTATAAAATGAAAACTTGGGATTACAGGACACCTCAGAACAGATTATGTATTACAGATTCACTAAAATTTGATTTTTTTAAGAGTAAAAATCTTAAATAGAAAGCTCTATACACTAAAGATTTACTAAACTATGTTACTTATTTGTCTAAAATTTTCCAGTCAAGGGGTATTATTTTAGCACGTGAAGTTCAGCAAAATCTCCTGGTAGAGTAGATGTATATAATGCAATACCAGCTATTTTTATGTGTAATATAAAAGTATACATATATAATGCAATACCAGGTATTTGTCCTTGGGTATTTTTGGGGTGGTTTGTTTTTTTTTTTGGTTGGTTGGCTGGGGGTTTTTTGTTACCTTCTGGCTTATTTCAGTTATTTTTTTACATCTCTTTCATAACTTTCTTTCAGACAGAGCAAGAGCCTCAAAAATCTTCTGCAGAAGCTCTCCTGGACCCTTGTGTCCTTACTGAGAGGAGACATATAGACCACGTTTGGACAGGGGTTAAACAAATGAACTTTTTATGCCTGATACCAGCTATGAAAAAGCTATTTCTGATCAGCTTTTTTGTTTGCAAGGGTTTTGAAATGTTTTCCCTCACAACCCTGATGGATTAAAAAACCAAAACCAAGCCCATCATCCTATTCTTTCTTTTTTTTTTTTTAATGCACATCCTGTGTTCTCTTGGCAAAGGCTGGGCTGACAGCATTAAAGGTCGATGCTCTGTGATCAGAAAATGGGTGCAGCCGCATCGCAGCCCCCAGGGCTGGAACGGGCAGCTTAAGAGGGTCCCACTCTCTCATCCCTTGCTGAAGTGATCAGTAAAAATGCAAATAAATTCTAATTATGATGACTTTTTTTTTTAAAAAAACTCCACAAAAGTGACCTGCAGTCTTACAGAGAGGCAACCCATCGAATCAGTTTGGTTTAGCTTATTTCTTTATGCTTCCTCTACGATTTGCTCTGGCATTGGATTTCCTGAGCTGACGGAGACGTGGTGCCTGGGAAGCTGCCAGCCATGAGGAAGACCTTGTTTGGCAGCTCCAGACCCTTCCTTTGCAAATGGACAACCCCCTGGAAGTACCCATTCTATCACTAAAACACCCGCAGTGCTGCACAAACACTTGTTCTAAGGCCATCTCATTTGTCTGGAGTAATGGAAAGTGAAGTCTCATCGTGTCTCTGCACCAAGAGACATGAAACCTCTCCCAGATCCTCCTCCCTCCTTCAAGCCCTCTACCCCAAGGCTTCCCTTTAGTTTAGATTCTGGAATACATGCAGGGAAACACATGATTTTGAAGTTTTGGTTGTACTCGGTGTTTATTCCAGCTTTTCCAGTTCCCATGGCCATCATCTGCTGGCCACAAATAAGAGTCTGATAACCTTACATGGAAAAAATGTAGGGTCGGTGCTGATGAGTTCTCAAGATACAAAGATCTTCTTTTCAGGCACGTTGATTAAAGCCCTCTCAACCATAAAACAATTAATTGAATAAACTGAGCAGGTCATCGGTTGGGTCAGATTAGCAGAGCTCCATGGAAAGGATGAGCCCTTGTCAGCTGACGCTGCTCATGCACGAGATTCAAAGAATATTGAGAAATATCTGGTATTTTTAAAAAAACAAACCCTCCGTGAAGAGAAATACCCCAGCCTTGTGGAGAAAAGCCCATTAAAGCTAAACGCTCCTGGTGAAATATGAGGGGAAGATATATCCATCCATCCCACCAAGAAGTTTGTTGGGTGGAAAGGATACGGCTGTAGGAAGATTTAAAAAATGTTCAATGAGTCACAAAACACTGTTATCGGTGGAAAGCTTTGGAGAACACCCCAGACAGAATTTAATTTAGAGGTAGGGATGATCATTTATTATTAATAAAAACTTCTCGCTGAAGGAGCCCTGTACTGAGCAAGTCCTACACATTTTAGGGACCCCTCACCCCGAAGGCTCCAGGAGCAGCTCCCTGTCCCTGGGACCACCTTCTGCCCAGAGGAGGGGGCTGCAGATGGCTGGGGTGAAGCTCCAGGCCAGGGCTTTTTGTCTCAGATTTTTTTTAAAAAGAGAAATTTGCTGAAGCTGAAACCAGTGAGATAACAACTGTCTTCACTATTAGGCTAATGTGTCCTATATTTTTTTTTTCTGTGCAGTTCTGGTTGTAGTAAATATTTGAAAGATCAGCCCATGAAGTGAAAACAAACCTCCCTTCTCCATCTGCCTCTTTCACATATGTATATATGGTCACATAAGCATATATGCATACATATATATGTGTGCCTGTGTTTTTATGCTGCACCTAGGGTTCTTATTAAACTTTCCTCAAAATACGGACCTTCATTTAACCTTTGTATTTCCAGATTGATCAATGGTTGTTCCACTGTTGACTCATGACAAACTCCAATATATTTTTGCCTATAAAACCTGAAAACATTATGTAGAATATTTTTTTCCCCAAAAAAACCCCATTAGTTATGTGGATTGTTTCCTATCAAGGACTGCTAGACCTCACAATTAGTGCCCAGTGATGGTTACGGTTCCCTTTGGCTGTGCCCTATTACTCTGGGGGAATGCAAAAGGCACGGAAGCTCTTTGCTCCCACAGCAGCCTTGGAATGAGACATTTCACACTCGGAGCATCGGCTGCAGTCAGACAGGAGTGATACCACCCCCCCAGTCTGTGCAGGATGGAAATCCCTCTGCCACCCTCCTCTATTTTGGGCACACAAGTGCTGCTTCCAGGACTGTGACAGTTTGCGGCCAGGCACAAGCAGCAGCTCGAGGGCTGCATTTGCATTTTTTAGGCAGCCACTTTCTTCTTCTCCTTCCAAATCCTCTTTCCTCATTCCCAGGCTGCAAATAACCGATGCTACGAGTGTGGCACCGGGGAAGGGTGATGCTCTCCCTGCAGCTGGCCCTGGGTACCAGGAGCTGGTGAGTCCGAGCATCCTCCCACAGCAGCCCTGCTGCATCCATTCCTCAGAGCACACACCTTCACTGGGAATTTAAACAATGCCTGAAACAGCCCACTTCTTTTCAAACAATAAAATGAGAAGTCTAAGTCTAAGACACATGTCTTTGGATCTCCAACTTGCAGCAACCGCTCAGTGCACGGCTGCATCTCACATTTTTCCCAGCACACGCATCCCAAACGCCACACAGTCTCACCCCCCCAAAACCTGCCCATCACCAACATTTTTTGGGTCTTAATCTACAACTACGAGGGGCTGCCACAAAATAGCACGCAGTTACTGGTAGCAGAACCACCCTCTGGACGCAATCAGTGCTCCTGGCTCATAAACCCAGCTGGAGGAGCCATGGGGAAAGCACAGCCACCCCCCTTCCTCCAAGAGGGACAGGGGTTTTGGTGGGTCAGCCCCCTCTCCAGCCATGGGGATAAGCAACTTAATCTGTGGAACCTGAGCCACCCCTGAGAGGACGTGATCCACCTGCATTTCTGCTGCTTTCATCGGCAAATCCATCCTGTGAGTTACAGCAGGCCATGCACTTACTGGAGATAAATTTGTACTTGCTTTTGTCTTGGAAAATCCCAAACCTATCAATTACGTTCCAGGCATCAGTAGTGGCTGGTTCCTGCTCAGAGGAACCGTCCTTCCCCCAGACCTGTTTCAGAGGCCTCTCCTGCCAACAGCCTGGTGGGTCTGAGGGGCACCACGGGGCACGACCATCAGGAGTGTGACAGCAGTCTGTCTGACCCTGCACTGCACCTCTGCCCAAAACACCAAAATATCATGACATGGAGCTCGTTTGCACCTCTCATTTCCTCCATCGTGACTTCCCGCAGGGATTTCTGCACTCCGACAGCACCCAGCACGCTTCATGCCCATTTTCCAGCCTATTTTCAATTTAATTTATGCCATTTTCCAGCCTGTTTTCAATTTAATTTATACTTTGCTAAGGATTCTGCCTTCAGAGAAGATAGCTGGTCCACAAGCCTTCCGTCACGCTACAGCTGCCGCCGTTATATTTGTCACTGAAAGAAAAACATCTCACCTTGTGTGACAAGGGGATTTGAATCACAGTTGCTAAATATATCACATATAGAAATTTGATTGCTTTACTTCTTTTTTTTTCTCTTTTTTTTCTCCTGAAAGGGGGGAAACGTGAGGGCAAAACCTTACAGATTATTTCATGCTTCGCTACAGTGTAATTCTAGACCCTAAGGTTTCTACCATTCCTATTTGGGTAATGACTGGAATGTAAAAGGGAGGTATTTAAAATTAATTGCAGCAGTTTTGAGGGTTAAACCTGCTTAACCCAGCCTTTTATTAAGAGAACGTCAACAGAGCATATATCTTGTCTGGGGAGCGCTGGGGCGTCACCATTCTTCCCCCAGCACGTTTGGTTCTAAAACCTGGGATTTCTTCAGGTTCCTGTACCACAAACCCATCCCAAAGGGCAGCGTCTGTCCGGAGCTACTCGCTGCAGCAGGACCTGACCTGAGAAAGGCGGGGGGGTTGTTTTACTTTATTAACTTGGAGTACTTTTAAACAGTTTCTGTTTTGTTTTTTAAACAAAGTTTTTTCCCCTTGACCAGCAAGGGAACTTTCAGCTGAAGTTCTCGGCAGCATCCGGCGAGGCTCTTGGCCAAGTTCTTCGGATCCCGTACGTCCCCAGGGACCGCCCGCTGGCTCCTGCGTTTCCCTAAGCCTCGGGGCACATTTCCTGGATCTAGGAAATTTAATTCCTGACTCCTTCCACCCAGATGCTGGCGAAAATGCCGTCTGCAGTCTGTACGCAATCGGGTGCGTTCATCGTTGGTTTCTTTTTCTTTCTAGGAACTGGCCTTGCCGTTAAATTTTTCTAAAACAGTCGTATTAATATGTTCAAAAATCCACTGCTGGGTTTCAGATAAAGGATCGCATCTGTTCATGAAAATCTTCTTCTCGGCTGGGTTGCAGTCTATGCAGCTGCTGCTTACTGCGTGGAACAAGGTTTTGTCCTGCAGGAATGAAAAATAAATTAAATAGAATTAAGTAGCAAATGCCGAGTCACTGGAAATGTTCTCATTTTACAGCACAGGGATTAACACGGCCCCGTCTGAAACAATCCTGTGGTCTCCGTGCACTGCCCGTGTGCAATAACCACAGCTATTAGTAGGAGGCTGCAGAGGATGGAGTGGGTTTTCTCCCTTGGGTTATTATCCTTCACGAAACTGGGAATACAGGAGAGAATGAGGAGGCATCTTCTGGCCTTTAACTAACAACCACAAAATATAACGAAAAAATAGAATGTCTTTTAATTATCTTTGCATACCATGTACTTGCCTGGACACTGAAAAGTGGGGGGGGGTTTGTTTGGATTTGGTTTTGACAGTTCCTACCACGCTTCCAGGCAGCAGGATCTGTGATAGTCTGTCTGGAACATGGACACTCTCCAACTTGAGGAAGAAGAGTATAAATAAAATAAATAAAATGAATTATTAACCGCAGAGCTGCGATGGAGAGACAGAGCTGGGACTGACGCTCTCAGGTCCCACCCCATGGACTGCAGCCTCTGCCCGTGGCCTCCATGAGCTGCTGAAATACACTCTCTCTCTGACCAAGAAGGGAATCCTCACGCTCTTTTAGCTCCCCATGGAGGTCTTGGGAAGGTAGGCATGGATGAAACTGCTTTAAGAAGAATATTTACGATGATGAGTCACCATATGGAGTTCACATAGGTGAGCCTTTGAGAGAGGGGGCCGTGGGAGTGGGTGGACAGTTGGAAACTTTCCAGGGGACAGACATTCACTGCATCTGTGGAAATACATGTCAGCTGGCTCTTGGTAAACCCCATCCAGGCTCTTCCCCTCCCTGCCCAACACGCTCTGCCAGTGCTGTAACACTGCCCCAGGATGTGCCTGTTTGCCCAGTCCTCGAGGGGCGGCGGGGGCAGGAAAAGCTGCTGCTTGTCAGATTGTGATCCATTGAAAACCCAGAAAAGTGCTCTGGGTGCTGAGCAACGACGGCACGGAAACGTCTCTGTAACTAAAAATACCCTGCACTGAGAAAAGAAGTAGGAAGACACAACCAAATATAACACAATCAGTCAACAAGAAATAATAGCTATTTAAAAAACCACTTGTTAAATAGAAGGGGCTTCAAAAAATTGAATTAAGAAGGAATTGAGAAAGACTGGTCAAGTCCAACACCCCTTTTTTTTTCATATTAACACGTGCAGGATGGCGAGGTGAGCAGCCCCTCGTGCTGCAGAGGAGGGTGATGGTGGAGCAGCACCTTCCACCAGCTTCTCATGGTGATGTCCACCCTCCCTGGAGCTCGCCAGGCTGGAACCAGCACAGGAAGGTGGCATCTGGCCCTCCTTCCATAGTCACCAGCCACGGGGGTCAGCCAAGTTATTAGGATGCTGGAGCTGGAACACTGGAAGCTTTAATGGGATGGCTGGTTCAAGAAGAAAGGACAGTGCCTCCGAACAAAGGCGCGCTATGACAAACACTCTGGCCTCTCTGAGCCTTTCTTCTCCCAGAAATATCCAGGGGATGCAGTCTTTGAGGGAAGCATTGTTGGTGCTTCCTGCTAGAAAGCCTGGCTATTAGGAGAGAGAGTGCCTGTAAGAACAGGGACGCAGTTAACACTCTGGAAAAACCTCTGGCTGACTTAGCCCTATATAAAGGCCTATTAATTTATCATCTCAAGCCTCCGCTGACCTGAGGTCACAGCCTGCTGCTCCGACGGGTTTCAATGGCAACAGGCTCAGGACTTTGAGGGGTAGCAGTTGCGTGCACCCCCGACAAGAACTTTCCAAGAGAACCAGATGAATTCCTCCTTACAGCGGTATTAAAAAGCCACGGGAGCTCTGGAGGAGACTGTTCTGACATCTGAAAACAGCAAAGAGTTTTGGGTTTTTTTAAAATCTGCACGAAGGCGAGTCTGACGATGATCTGCAGAAGGAGAAACTTCTCCGTAAGCTAATGGGCCCCGACAGCTGGGGGGTCGGTAATGAGACCCGGAGCCTTTCCTCTCCCCCAGGTCACTGCTGCAGCCTGGCCGAGGTCAGCAGCGAGGGGCAGCCATTAGCTGGGGCACTTCGTCTGGAAGGACTCGGCAGCCCCAGCAGGACAGACGGCCGCGCCGTGAAAGCCGCTCTCACAATGACCAGGCTTCGGCCGTCGGAGGAAACGACCCACGTCCCCCCCAGGGGTGAACTCGCCCTCACGGCTGGTCCCCAGAGCTGCCCAGAGAGGAGGAGCCATCTACACTCTTCTGGGCACCCCCTGGGACCTCGCCAGCCCAGTGTCCAGCCCCAGCGTAGAATTATTGGATCATGAAACTGATTTCACACAACTGTTTCTTTTTAAAAACCTATGGGAAGAGTCCCCTCTTGGCTGCTTGTGCTCCACAACTAGCACTGGTGGGGCCAGGGCACACGGATGGGATCATGCTTTATCGGAACCCATGTGTTACCCGTCGGCCAGAGTGATGCTTCGCTGAGAACTGGAGGCGTTTCCTTCACTGGGAGGAATGGAAATCTGCAGGCACGGTTGGTCCCTGGCTCTGGCACGCTCAGGAATGTCAGAGTCAAGGAAATGGCTTTAGTTTGGGAAGCCACTACCCTCCCAAATGCCTACTAATTTCAGGTTATTTACATTTCTCACATTGGTCCCACCATTGATGGCAGCCCCATTATCACAGAATCACAGAATCTTCTAGGTTGGAAGGGACCTTAAAGATCATCTTGTCCAACCATCAACCTCACTGACAAAAATAGACACCCACACAACAAACAAGAAGCATCACCATCACTAAACCAGACCTCCCAGCACTACATCAACCCGTCTTTTGAACACCTCCAGGGACGGTGCCTCAACCACCTCCCTGGGCAGCCCATTCCAATGGCTGAGAACCCTTTCGGTGAAAAAATTATGGCATCAATGTTTTTTCCCCCCAGATTAAACTCACTTTCTTCTATTTCCAACCCACAGCAGTGTTTATGGTATTACTTGGGTTGATCCTACTCCATGGCTGCTTACAGGGACTCCTTAAAGGGATACTCGGCTGTTTTATTACAGACCAGTATTTTGAATTGGTCCCAAAAAATCCTGATTCTTTAATATTACAGACTTATTAGTCTTTCAAATAGTTGCTCAGATGCAGTTTAACGTGCAGCCATATGTGTGATTAACGGTACGGGAATAAGAACAGAATTTTAACACGTGTTTATTAGTGGTAGTTTTGGCTTCATTCATCTGAAAAGACTCCAGTTTGTACATGCTGAGATTGGTGAGGGTAATGGGGATAAGCTGGGAATTCTTTCAGAAGAGCACTCCTTACCCAAGGTAAAACATCGATGTATTCTACTTGCCACTAAAATATTTAAGCTGTTGTTATTTGCCAGTACCCAAATACAGGTTGTTAGGGTTCCTGTGCTGTAAGAATATGGACTCTTAAAGCCCTGCCTGGCTCCAAACTGTATTTGCAGCCCTTTGCAATCTCATCACGACCCCAGCTTCTCACCCGGGGCTCGAGGACACCAATGCTCATGAGCAGAGACTCCTCCTTCAAAGAATAAAACCCTCTTCTCTTCTAGTTTTACAGGAACAGTGTGACAGCATGGTAACAAACGCTTCCTATCAAGCATCTTATACCGACAAACGAGGGGATTTTTTCCTAAAACATGGGAATTATCAGCAGAGGGACCCGGGACCATTAAGAAACCACAGCATCTCTAAGTGGTGCTGGGAACAGAGCAGAGCTGCTGACCCACTCTCTGTTATTTAAAGGGAGGCAATTCCTGCTTAACCAGACTATTCCTTATTTAGGGTGCAATTTTAGCAGCAGAGCATCCTCTACATAATGGGCTCTAGTAGAGATGCAGTTAAATGGATATAACGTCCTTTTCTCTTGTACAGGCTGGGGTTTGGTTTTGGTTTGGGTTTTTTTTGGTGGTGGTGGGGGAACAACACTATAAATCCTATTGCCAAGATGTTTCCAAACTAGATAAGGATTACATCATTAGCATTTTGGGGGTATAGCTGCACCACCACAGACCTCTGGTGTAACTCTGCCCTGTGTGGGAGGAAACAGACTGTGTGAAGCAATAAAAACCCATTTACTGGGTAGCCCAGCTAAAACTAAGTCTAGAGTAAACAACCTGGCTTACAAAATTCTGTGTTCCCAGCGCCGTTTCTGACACGGAAGGTTTATGCAAAGCCACGGGCTGGCTGTCGGGTGGATGTCACAGCTGTGGCTGTGTCCGTGCTTCCATCACAACAAACCTGTTTCTGGCCGAGATGGAAACGCCTGCCTCCCCGTGACAGTTTTGATACAAGCCCTGCCAGCCCTCTGGAAATGAAAAACGAAGCTGTGCAGAGGATTTAATAGAAATCACACTCTGTATTTTTAAAAAGGTCACTCTTTTTTTACTTATCTGCTGTATTCTGCCCACATCAAAGGCGATGAGCCTTACAGAGGGGGCAGCTCCAGACCTGCATGTTGTCTTATGAACCAGCTACACCAGGCACCAGTGAAGGGCTAAAGGTATGAAAGCTTCTTTCTTGCAGCTTGGGGAGGCAAAAAAGAAAAACCGGAAGGGTTTTGAAGCAAGAAGGTGTTATTTCAGCATTGTAAAGCCAGATATGCAGCAATACAGCCATAATAGTTCACGTCCTCTAGATATCTGGCCCATACTGCTTGCTTTATTACAGGCAATATCTTGGTTTCAAAGGGGTTACGCTTCCAGAAAGTCTCGTGGTGGATCTCCAGTTGCAACATAAAGAGGGCAAAAGGCAGAGGCTAATTAGCAGGGGCTCAGAAAAAGGATTGGGGCAAAACTATATGGTTCTGAATTATATTTTATATACATATATAACAATATATCATATTATTGTACTACATATAATTTCAAACTAGAAAGCACTGTTGGGTTTATCTGGCAACGTCCAATTCTTGCCCTTTGGCCTCAGCTTAAGGAAGGGGGTGGGCACGAAACGTGCAGGACGCGTGAGAGGAACCCCCAGCATCCCTGTCCTTATCCTGCATGGAACACAGGTTATTAGTGAAACTGTTAATCACGGCAACCTGCTGATTAACCATTCAAAGCCCCTAACAACAACAACTCGGTGGCCCTGCCAGGACCTTCTGCCCTGCCTGAGGCTCTGACGGTTCCCAGCGTGACGTCCTGTTTCCAGTGATTTATAGAAACGGGCTGAGACGTGGCAGATCAAAGCAGTGTCTAAGCTGCTTATCTTTCATTTATAAACTCCTGCCTTCTTTGGGCTTACTGCAGTGCTTTTAATGTTAGGGGCTTGGGTTTTTTTTTTTTTTGAGGGAGATTTTTCTGCCACTTGTAATCTTTAAAACGCAGTAAAACAATTAATATTTAACTCACGAGCAGCATTTCTTGCTGCTGTCACACTGGATGAAGACATCTCCAGCATTTAAAATGACACGAGCGACCTGACATGCCAGGATGGTAAAACACCTTCCAGGGAGCAGCTCCACCCTCCGAGCTGGATCAGATCCATTTTCACTTCAATTTGACCTAAATAGCTGAAGGCTCAGAAGGAACACGCTCTGGGGAGATTACCACGAAATGAAACCCGAATGAGACGGGGTGGATTTTAAAATAGCAGCTCTCTGCTGGGAAAACAAGAGCCTGTGCTAAATGGAGGGTAGGGGGATGCTCGGGGGGGTCCCCGGGGTGGCTCCCACCTTCCTGTAGCTCCAGTGCTGGTTGCCCTTCATCCCGTGGCAGTCGTAGAGCGTCACGGGGCTGCTGTGCGAGACGGCGTCGAAGCAGAACTTCCTGCTGTGCAGCGGCTCCCCGGGGCGGATGTCCTCTCGCCAGCCGAAGGTGAAGAGCTGGAAAAGCCACCAGGAAGCACGGTGATGGATTATGAGCCATAAAAACATCGTAAATCACACGCCGAACTTGATGCATGGCTCCCTACCCCGCACACCTCGGCTGCTGGTTCAACGAGACCCTGCCTGGCTGCAATTAACCTTAATTAAAGCTGGTATGGTGTGAAAAAAACCCTAACATTGGTCATTGAGACAATTATTCCATCAGCCCATGATCCCTCCCCACCCGGGAAGGGAAATCAGGGAAAAACAAGGATATCCCAGGGTTGAAATAGAAATAGATTTAATAGGATAAGACTAAATAATTAACAATAACAATAGAGAACCAGTACTGTTCCTGATATTAATGTAGGATATAGAGGGACTACCCATTCCCCAGCAGAAGCCGTGCCCTCCCCGCAGGGACAGCCAGTGTGGGACCCTGTGAGCGCTGTGGCTTGGGGAGGGAGGGAAGGGCTCAGGGCTGTGGCACTGGGGCAAGGAGTTCTCAGGATCCCAGCCATGGAGGGAGAGAGAGAGAACTCCTCAGCAAACCTTCTAACTTCTCTGGAATGTGCATTCATGGTATGAAATAACCCTGTTGGCAGCTTGGGACCAGTGCCCGGGTCTCACTCCTCCTCATCCCCGCACCCGGTGAGCTGGAGAACACCGAGACCTTGAATCCCACAGAGCCCAGCTGGCTGTAAAGTAAATATTTTCACTAATTCAGACACCAGAGTCTTCTAAAAGTTGCAGCCTTTCCAGGCATTAGGAGAGAAATTAGTCCCGTGTTGCTCAAACGGGGACAAAAGCACATGGATGTGGAACGTGGCCAGGAAGGTTGTGCCAGGAGGGCACAGTGCCCGTGGCCAGGGAGAAAGCAGCCTCCGGCGATGGGCTGTGTGTGGGGAGGGGGGACACGCCGTGCTAAAGCCTGTGTTTGCCCTCCTTACAGCCCCCCTCACAGGCTCTTGGGCTGCAGCCACCTGGGACTTGGACAAACTCTGCTGGCAACGGCTCCCCAGCGCCCATTTGTGTCTGAAGAAGCTTCATGGGGACATCTTCCCATCACAGCGCCTTTCCCATGTTCAGTGAACACTTCCCTTCTGCTTAGTATGGGACACTGGCTTTTTCTCCCCAAACAACACACGTATGTGGACACGCTGAGAGAGTTGGGGGGGGTTCAGCCTGGAGAAGAGAAGGCTCCCGGGAGACCTTAGAGCCCCTTCCAGTCCCTCAAGGGGCTCCAGGAGAGATGGGGAGGGACTCTGGATCAGGGAGGGGAGCCACAGGACAAGGGGGAAGGGTTTGACACTGAAAGAGGGGAGATGGAGCTGAGATGTGGGGAAGAACTTGTTTGGTGTGAGGGTGGTGAGAGCCTGGCCCAGGTTGCCCAGAGAAGCTGTGGCTGCCCCATCCCTGGAGGGGTTCAAGGTCAGGTTGGAGGGGGCTTGGAGCAACCTGGGCTGGTGGGAGGTGTCCCTGCCCAGGGCAGGGGGTGGCACAGGGGGGGCTTTAAGGTCCCTTCCAACCCAAACAATTCTGTGATTCTGTGATTCTAGCATCATTACCTTTCTACTGCCACCCTGTGAGCCACAGGCAGCTTGTTAAAGCCCTTCTTCTTGCTGCCTGTGAGGAGTGCTGAGCTCACAGTTCACAGAGGAATCCTCCATCAGGCGCCGGCCGCCTGAAACGATGCTGTGACTCTGCAGCCTCTCCATCACCAGACGGAGGTGACAGGTCTGACAGCAGTGAATGGGAAGATGCAGAGTGCATTTTCCTTTCCCACGGACCAGTCCTTGCAGAAATCAGGTCGTAAATCGCTACCAAGAAGCTCTGCTGAGAGCTGTCAGGGTTTTTTTTTTCTTTTTTCTTTTTTTTTTTTTGTGTCAGTGCTACTCTTCAATTTTTGGCAATGACTTCTGATTTTCTGTAGTATGAACATGGAGAACCCTAGCTCCGGTGGCAGGTCCTCCCCCAGCACCCCGCTCCATGGTGGGATCAGCATTTGCAAATCCAAACTGGAGCTCGGCCTCGTATGGGCCTGACCCTGAACATTTCTGTTGTGTGTCCCTGATGTTCCCCCTCTCCAGACGACAGCTGTCTTTTCCCCATGGGCTTTGTGAAAGGTACAGCCCATAACAGACACTCACCTTCAATGCTCTACCCTCCTCCAAGCGCCGCATTTGAGAGGCGTTACTATTTCTCTCTGCTTCAGGCACAAAATACAAGCATATATCCGAATACTCGCTTTTTTTTGGTTGTGTGTCTCATTGTAAGTCCTTGTTCTCTCCGTTAGCTGCTGTCACTCCCTATTTTCTTCAGTATTATAGGTTTTCTAGACAGCATTTTCTCAGCCTGCCCCTGTGTCCTGCTTATTTCTTCATTCCCCTGGAGTGCATTTTACATTTATCTGCAGTAAAATGCGGCAGACAGCTTTAACTTCATTTTCAAACCAATTCCTGCTTTTTAAAAGGCTAAGTCTTCCTCTACTCTTCTTCATCTTTCTTGGAAGCAGCCTCATGGACTCCCTAGGAGTCATTTCACGAGCACAGTCAGAAGTAAGACTCAGTACAGGAAAAAGCTACGCTGCTGCAAAGGAGAACCCTGAGATCATTTTCCTTTAAGGAGAAACTAACAAGAACCATTTCCTTTCTCTTACCCTTCACCTTTCTACAGCCGAGTAACAAACCCAGAGCTCAAAGTGAGGAATAAGAAATACCCAGAACAAGAGAGATCCTGGTCTTTCCCTGTGGGTGCCTCCCTCCCCACACGCTGCATTCCGTGCATGACTGGTGAGGGGTTTTTTATTCCTTTCCACTGAAAAACAGCATCTGTGTAACACTAGAGCTCAGTCTTTAGCACAGATTCTTTATCCTCCCTCTCAGTCTCCTGTTTTGTAAACCAGTTTCATTTTCAAATCAACAAGTACGTCTTCTCCCCAGTGATACTGCTGTAAAAATCAACCGTGTTAGGGGCACGAACTCATTTTTAGGACTAAGAGAGAGAAGGAAAAAAAAAAATTGATCAGAAAAAATGTTATAATTCTCTATACACTCAACTAATATTAAGATTTTGTAATTACAGACAGAATTTGAAAGCCTACAGTCCTTCAAATCTCATCACTCTAAGCTATCCTCCATTATACAGCAAATTCTCTCTAGTCAACGCTAAATCTGGCCAATATAAAAGTTATCTCTCCCCTGCATAACATCCCACGGTGCCCCATATATTTAGGCGAGGTCCTGAGGAAACAGTGCTCCCCTTTGCCACCACCCATCACTCTGGATTTCACTGTTCCTTTGACCTGAGCCTCCTGCACCCAACTTTACAAGACATGGATGAGCCCTTTTGTCCCCCTCCATCCATCCCTGGCTGCTCGCTGATTCCAAACAAGGCTGCACCTGCATCTCCAGAGAGGTTATTGATGAACAGCAGGCTGCTTGTCACCTGCAGCCCACGGTGATGCTACCAAGACACCCTCCTCCTCCTCTGCCTTCTCTCACACGGCAGAGACCATCAAACATGTCCCCATCCTCTGCATTTGCAACCCAGCAGCCCCTCAGCCCCCAGGCTTCAGCTTCTGATGTGGCCCAGCCCTGTCCTGCAGCGACTGGGGAAAGGACAGCCTGGCACAGGGCCTGGAGAATGACTCTCTGGGAGAGCCGTTGGCTTGTGGCCGTCTGGAGGACAAAGGCCCCTTTGATGCCACCAACAGTTTCCAGCCCAACAGCCCTGTTCCACGGCTCACTGCCTGGCTGGGGTCCATTGGATGGTTTTGCTCAGATGTGAGCAGACAACGTGTGCCCCACACAAGGATGAAAACACCACATCTCAGACTTGGACTCTACCTCCAAGGAGAGAAGGGCGAGCTGGGCAGGCTGCGTGGCTACCTGCTGGGCTGCGTTAGAGGTGATGGCTGTCCATCTACTCCCTGGCCACCCTCAGGGACTTGAGAAGAGAGAATCACAGAAGCATAAATTCATAGAATCGTTGGAAGAGAATTAAAAAGCAGAGGGGGAGGAAAGAATGGCATGGCTCAGATTCTTCCACCTCTGTCTTCTCACTGCTAACTTCTGGCTTCAAGGAGCTGATTGTCCAGCAGCAAAGGAAAATGATGGGCATCACTCTCTACAGGCGACAGGAGAGGAAACGGCCTCAGGTTGTGCCAGGGGAGGTTTAGGACAGATATTAGGAGAAATTTCTTCACTGAAAGGATTGTCAAGCCTTGGCAGAGGCTGCCCAGGGCAGTGGTGGAGTCCCCATCCCTGGAGGTGTTTAAAAGGCAGGCAGATGTGGTGCTGAGGGACATGGGTCAGTGGTGGGTTTGGCAGTGTCAGGTTAACGGTTGGACTTGATGATCTGAAAGGTCCCTTCCAAGGATAACAATTCTATGCTCCACACCAGTCTCTCTTTTCTGTGCTTTCCCTGCTAAATTGTTTTCTTCTCCCACCTTTTTGTCCAGTTTTCTTCCCCACTTCCACTCATCTCTGGCAGCCTCATCACTCCCTTCCCTTCTGGAGGAGTGTTTGGAGCTCTGCAGGTTTGCAGATTTTAAAGCCAGAGAGCACCACGATGATCTAGCCTGGACCATACGACTTCCTTCAATTAATTGCTTGAATTACTGGATGTTTTCCACAAACAAGACAGGGTGATATTAATCTAGTGTTGGCATCCTATCTTTGGTAGCCATGTGAAGAAGCCTTCCTTCTGCAACCTTCCTTGTCCCACGTTGGCACTTACCTAAACTGGGATCACCCTTCATCTCCTGGGTTTCATTCACTCCCACCTCTCCCCCTGCGCTTCTCAGTATCCTCGAAGTATGATTTCTTGGCCTCAGCACTTCAAACACCCCTCAGAGCTCCTCTCTCCTGAGCTTTTATGCTTTTACAAAGTGCGGTGTGCGACTGCCAGGTCAATTCTTCTCCTCAGTGTTGGGAAGCTTTTCTATCTGGGACCTTGCCCTGTGAAAGGCACGTTCACTAAAATTGGTAATAAATGGTGAGGTTGTACTTTTCATCCCAATTCTCTTTGCTCACGTTGGCCAGACCAAGAGCCCGTGGGTCATGATCCCATTCCTAAGGTACTCGCAGCCACAATGAGCACAGATCAGAGCTCTCTTCCTCCATACTCCTGAGACCTAATATTTTGCTACCTAACCAATCTAGATAAAAGCTTTTTTTGATTCTTTATGATCCCTTTTCTTTGTGAAACTTTCTTTCTTGCTTTTACCCATTTATCTCACCTAAACCTCATATTAATTTAAAATATTACTGCTTATTGAGATGAAAGCATAGAAGCAGACAAACACTAGAGCTTTACAAGCCCAGGTACTATATTTCAAATATTTTCAGGTAATCGAACCAAAATCAACATGTTTTTGTGACAGAGCAGGGGAGAATGGGGCACTGAAAAGCTCTTAGAATCACAGAATGGTTTGGGTTGGAAGGGACCTTAAAGCCCCCCCAGTGCCACCCCCTGCCCTGGGCAGGGACACCTCCCACCAGAGCAGGTTGCTCCAAGCCCCCTCCAGCCTGGCCTTGAACCCCTCCAGGGATGGGGCAGCCACAGCTTCTCTGGGCAACCTGGGCCAGGCTCTCACCACCCTCACACCAAACAAGTTCTTCCCCACAGCTCAGCTCCATCTCCCCTCTTTCAGTGTCAAACCCTTCCCCCATATCCTATGGCTCCCCTCTCTCTTTGGGCACTGCAAAATTAAGAAGAACATACAGCCCAGGTGGTGGCTGGCATTTCTGAGGTTATATTAAAGGGCACTTTACAAAAGCCATTAAGGTCAGCAATGATTCACAAATTAAATGTTTAGCAACTGGCCAAGAGAAGCACCAGCTGGACAGCAGTTTCTCTTTCCCCCGACAGAATACCTGCTCGTGGGACCAGGTGCGCTCCGAGCCGTCCTTCACGCAGACGTCCAGCCTCAGCTCGGTGCCCGTGGCCCCGTGTTTGCTGTCCACGCACAGGTTGGCTGCCACGTTTCGGATCTGCAAAACCAAACGCCAACACTTCACCTTCGAGCAGACTGAGGAACCGAGCCTGCAGCAGCGGGGTGAGGAGTCCAGCTCTCTCTGCTGGAAACTGGAGGGCTTGAGACTGACCACTATTGACATAAAACTGGTGGAACTTACTTTTTATGGGGCAGAGTAAATTCCACATCCTGGAATGAACTACTCTTTTCGTGAACAACTTTAGAAGCATCAAAGTTTGAAATATTCAACTTAAGAAAGGAAAGGTAGGTCTGTGTGAAATGTTTTCACTCAAAGAAACTAAGAGAAAAAAAGTGTGAGAAGGTCAAAGCTTGGTCTGATGCTTCTTCCCTCCCACCAGGGCAAGAGAGATCAACAGCATCCATGGGAAATGATTTCTGTACGAGTTTCTCACGTGCTTTGGAGCAGTATTTCTTAAAAACTCAGGCACACTCTGTTCCAGACCTCGTTCATATGTTGGCACAATAAAACCATTGTCGATAAGGTCACACACTAGTGCCCAAAGTGCATAAAATTAAGAAGTACTTAATAAATCCATACTGAAACTCTGCTTTTACCCACGGAGGTTCCTTGTGCTGCCCACACGCCTTTGGCAAACGCTCTGCAGTGCAACTGACTCCTGAAAGGAAAAATCTCACTTTTGAGACTGAAGTAACTGAGTAATAATTAATCTGTGGCTATCAGTCAGACCAATTATGTACCACTGCTGCCATGGATAGCTTTTTTTTTTTTGGAAGACTGGGTTGAAAAGGAGTGGGCTGCCCACTGCCACCCAAAAGAGGAAAAACGCCAAATTTATGTTGCAAATAAATGCACATTTCTCCTTGAGTGCCTCTCCTTGGGCTATTTAAAAATCCTTTATACACCTCCACAATGAGGGGGATTTCTTAAAAAACCTTCTCTTTCAGCGAGATACACAGAAATTGAGTAACGAAATTGCACATACAGGCATGGAGATGCACACAGATTCTGTACATGTAATATGCAGCAGGCAGCTGTAGGTGCGTATTTTCACATTCTGGCTGTTTTTGACTGTTTTGATCCTTATTTTAAAGGAAGAAAAGCTGGATGCTGAGCAGATATACAGTCGAGTTGAGATTTGTAATTTTCCATGGGAAGTATTCCAGAAGTGCCATGCCAGGGCAGACCCATGTGAAGGTGCCAGACGCCCTGTGGGGCTCACAGGAGAGCTGTGCTGCTCTCCCCGTTCCTGGGGACTGGAATTGGGGCCATTCACTGTGTTCTAAGAAAGATTTAGACAGATAGGAAGCAGCAGGAACTGGGGAAAATGTATAAAACATCACCTTCAGGGAAGGTTTTGGGGGCTGCAGATTGGGCAAATGAGAGGAGCATCAGTTTGAGCCATTTTATCCAACAACCTTTGAGCAACAACTGGCACTTGAACTATTCTTCTAAAACTTGGATGAGCCCATCCCTAGGGATTTTTTCTTATTTTGACACAATAAGAATGGCTATAGATGAGGTAAAAGCCCAGCATTTCATACACACAGCCAGATGCAGAACCCCAGGACTGAGCCCCACAGTGCGAGAGTCATGTTAACTGGAGAAAAGGATGAAAGATAATTAGTTCTCAACAACCCTGCCTTCAATTCCTCATCACCCAGCAGGAGAAACAGGGAAGAATAATAAGTGTATGTGTGACATCCGCACAGCATACTCATGCTGATCACAGCTTGTCCATTCATGAGTCCTGCCTAAGACAACACTCAGTGTCCAAACCTCACCTCACACAGCTATTGTTTTAACTTCCTTCAGCAGGATTTCAGGCACACGTTACAAATAAATCAGCCTGTCCCAGGCAGAGAACGGGACGGGTATCGCTGCCTCTCAACCGGCAGCACACTTCCAGGGTATTCGGGAGGATGAGAACAAAAGCTGATGGAAAACTTTCCCTTTTTGCACAGCAGGAGAGGGAAGAGCGGAGTTCTCTCCCCCAGAGACAGAACCAACATCCCCGCTGCCCTCAGCCTGCCCGGGTACTCTCATTTACGGGGCATTTCAGAGCTCCCAGGGCAGACGAGAAGGGGAGGGAAGGCACACACTGCCATCCTCAAAGGACAGAGGCACAAAGAGGCAGAGAGATGTGAAGGCCATGACAAGCACAGCGAAGAAGACTTTTTAGTTTTACAGATTTCCTCCTTTCCCATCGCGGGCAGGTTGTGTCAGGGAATGTATGAGCTGGATTTTAAGTAAATGTTGCTTGCAAAAAACCAGAGGAGCTGTGCCGAGGCTGTTTATGAGATGTCTGCTTTCACACCACCCCCCTTCCTGACCCGGATCTCAAAATACTGGAGCCAAACATTGCCTGAGTCCCCTCATTGTTTATTCTCTCTCCGGCTGGCAGAGGCGAGCGGAGGAGAAGTCCCTCCAAGGGGGAGCAGAGAGGGCTCCAAACGACAGCCAGGCTGGGCACGGGCTGTTGGTGTGTGCAGTCACCACGGTTTTCCAGAGCAGCTTGGTCCCCACAAAGCAGTAACACACAGCCTGCTTTCCTCTCCCCGCTACTAATTGTGACGGCCACCGACCTTCCAGTTTGCTCAAGTTCCTTGCAAGCGCCAACAAATTAATTAGAACTTCACAGGAATGTGACAGGCTCAGGAACAGAGTGGCAGGGCTGAAACTCCTCTTCTCCTTGTTTCAGACCAAGTACGTTTTAGAGAAAAAAGAAAGCCTTTGGTGTTCACTTCCTTCCGAAGAACTAGTAAGTGCTTTTAACGTGCAGATTTGATATCACTGCTGTGCTCTTTGATTTACTTTTAAAAAGTCTTGCTTTTATGCAAAGAGCGCATTAATATTGTGGCGAAAAGAATGAATGCCTGAACCACCACCTCTTGGACCCTCTGACTGAGTTAAGGATGGTTCAGCTTAACTCAAAAGTTACAGATCTCTTGATGACAGTCCTCCATGGACACATGTGGAAGACAGTGAAGGACGAGGGTAGCCACAGCCACAGCCCCCTGATGCAGCCCGACTTCTGCTGATAAACTCCTTACCTCCTGCTACACCTTAATCCCAGAAAGGGGGGGAAGCAGCACCAAAGACAGAAGAAACCTGAACCACAAAGGAACTGATTATTGCCAAGGAGCAGTGAACATTGAAGTTCCTTTGAACACCTGTAAGTGGGAGCTTACAAAGAAGAATTAAGGACAGTCACTACCACAGAAAGTTATTTCTAGAATTTTGCAATGAGGTAATTTGCTTTAAAAAAAAAAATAATTCTAGAGAATAGCAGAGAAACCTGTGTTTAGAAGTCCCCTGCATAGTCCAGCCTGGACGACCGGGAACATGCAGAGGTGTGAGGGGTCTTACCAAACGTCCTGGCCAAAGTTTCAGCTTCATCCATTGGTTTCAAATCCGAAAGGTAATTGTCTGAGAGCCCCAAGAACATCTCCAGCAAATATCAGTACAGATATTACTGTGTTTTTTAAATTAAGTCAAACAACACGCTGAAAGAGTGAATCGTCTTAATGAATCAAGACGAAAAAGCCCTCTGCCTGCCCCATGCCATGGGACGTCATGCTCAGGGTATGAAGCTGGGGAAGAAGAAGGAAGTTCCCAAGTCCCTGTTCTGTGATGGAGCCTGCTTTCCTGGGGATGCTGAGCCCCCTCCTGCCATGGGGAGCAAGGAATGGATTCCTTGATTTGCTTTGCTTTTGCTCAACCTATTAGACTTTACCTCAACTTTATCTCAACCCATGAGTTTTCCCTCACTTTTACTCTTCTGGTTCTCCACCCCATCCCACCAGGGAAGATCTGCACAAGTGGCTGCATGGTCCTATCTGCTGGCTGGGGTCAAACCATGACCCCCTCCTACGTGCAACTGCCCTCACAGGAGGTGTGTCAGTGGAGATGCAACCAAAAAAAAGGGGTTGACTTCAGATCTCCTTTTCATTACAGTCATTCTCAGCAACTAAAACCATCCCGTGACACAGGAGCGTTACACGCTCTTTTCCACGTTCTTGTCCTCATTGTGCATGTGTCTTATGGCCTGTACACACACAATTGTTGCCATAAAGGATGGCAATAGTCCTAAGACATGACAGTTTCTCATTTTATGGCCAGTCCAGAGATTGTTCCAATCCCTGTGAACTCCCTTAATAGCACCACTTATCACAGGAGCTAAATTTACTTTCATAACTTAAATTTCCTGTAATGTAGGATGTTAGGCTCATTTACATTGGAACTAATATGTGTACTGCTCACCTCCCCCCAGGCAGCAGGCGGAGGCTCCACGGGAGGGTAATATTTGGGGACGTCCCACGCCACTGCAGCCATGAACCACTTGAAATCTTTACATTTCAGGTGCTTGCGCAGTTCCTTCTGTGCTGAGATGTCCCCCGTGGAGAGGTGTCTGTACTCCGGCCGCCGCTGGTAGATGTACTCAGCAAACTCATCCATCCACGTCTCCGCCACGCGCTTCAGGTTCTGGGCAGTGGAAAAAACCAGCTGTTAATGGACCAAAAAGGGGTATTTCTAATGGGGAGAATTAAGCAGAAACGTTTCAATAGGCCACACAGCTTTTCAGCTTAAGTGGTCTAATTTCTCGGTCTTAAAACACGGAAAAATACCAGGACATGTACACTATCTGCATTACAGCACTGAACAAACACTTCAGAGTACTAGGATCCTGCTTTCCTGCTGACTCTGTAAGATACAGGCTTCTGTCTGTGGAACAGCTTATTTTCCTTCCCATTCTTTATGCATCCCCACGTGGGTTTTTGATTAACGATGGGTGTTGAACAGAAATTTTCTTTCACGTTGGTACCTATGCTTTTACCTGTCAGTTCAGAACCTACTAACGTGCACGAGCGGGTCACATTATTCCTTCTGACGTGTCTCACTCTGCATTTGACTTTTCAGTTGCCATCACGCTGCTCAGTCACCTAACAATTCCCACCTACGTGTAAGGTCGGCTCTGAAATGTGTATTACCTGTTGTGTCGCACAAGAATTTACTGAAATGATAATGAATTAAATTAGCTGACTCAAATTATAAAACTAAATACTTTTAAGGGAAAATCCTGGGTTGATGAGACTGAAGAGAGATATTTTATTGTCCTTTAGTGTCATGGAGTCTAATTGGGCTGGGGGCAAATTTTTCTGTATTTTTGTTTTATTTTAAAACTCCTGCAACTTAATCCACACAAATTTATACGCAGATGCCATGGTGGAGCACAGACTTAGCCTGTTCTGCATTTCCACAGCTGCCCAACAACCTCTTATCACGCCACCAAAGCAGCTTCTCCCTGGATGACACTGAGACACCGCGGTGTTCTTATCGCTTTGCTTGTAAAAACAAGATCATCAAGTTTTGCAATATTCTTTTTATAGAACTCTAACTGCGAAATGCTGAGCTCTGCTCTGTAATAAGCTGGAGGACAATACACAGCTGATTATCGTCAACATAAGGTAATGTTGCTCCTCAGAACGCTCTCCACATCCAAGTCAGCCTGATGCCTGCTCTGATTTGCTTTCAAGATTCGTTTGAAAAATCCTTTCCTGAATTTTATTAATCCACACGAACTAAATGTCTCTGAACTAATAAGGCTTATCCGAATACAAAGACAGCAAGATGCAGAACAAACGAAAGACTTTTAGCTGACACTGCAAGAGAAGCTTCTCTGTGCTTTCTCTCTGAGAAGCAAATACATTTAAACCTGCAGGGATAAAGCAAGTAAAATTAAAGCATTATAAAAAATGGCAATGCTCATATCCCTATTCAAAAATGGCTCATGCCCCACATAAGGATGGCTTTTGTTGTAATTTCATGAAAACCTAAATTGCTTTGCAAGAAATTTGAATTCAAGAATACCGGAATTAGGTAGGACAAAGAAAACCAGGACAAATTCAAGAACAACATCTGAACGAGAATCCCACCTCTGCAGAAACCCTGTAACACAGAAATCTCCTGACAAGTGAAAATACCACGAGATGAGACTTTGTAGATGAGGCCAAAATGCGATTAAGCACATTAAGCTAAGAAGCCAAATTAATGAAAATAGGTGTGACCTTCCTCCCCAGCACCTCCTCCCCAGCAGTGCTGTGCACCTCACCTGCTGCACTGCAAATGCAGTTTACGACTGTTCTAGAAAAGATCAAACAATTTCTTGCAATCACTTTATCTGATAGTGTTATTTTCATATTTAAAACCACACTGTAAAAAGAACCATACAGTAAAAGTACAGTAAAAAAAAGAAAAACTCAAATTAACTCCATCAGCGACTTACCCCATCAATAGGAAGTAGGCTCTGCTGGAGTTTCCTCTTCTGTTATTTGGCTGCGCTAAAAGAACCATGTTCTGCTTTAGGTGATTACAACCAAATAAAACAAGAGTCTACTAGAAATCTTGCTATTGTACCTGTTTAATAGCTCAAAATTCTCATTCACCAGTCAAAAACTCTGGTTTTGGGTTTTGCATGTGTGTGTGTGTGTAAACTTACCAAAACATTGCATTGAGAAAAACAATAAATTCCATTCTTCCCACCATTCCTCAAGTATCAGGTAGGACACTTTTCCTGGTTTGAGGCCCAAATCCCAACAGCGCTTTAAACAAATATATTTAAAACTTTATTCCCCAGTTCTTCCAAGCCCCTTCTCTCCATCACATGCTGAAAATCTTCCCAAACTTGGCAGACCCTGTAACGAACCTATATGTTATCCTTAGCGTGACCCTTCTAACTCAATCCATTCTACTATTCTATGATCCTTGTTCTACAGCTGTAGAAAAAGCATGAAAAGTTGCCCTACATGAAGAACCTCCTAGGAGCACAACTCTTCCCTGCAAATCATCTCAGTGAGCTGCCCGTCTTTCACCCAACTTCTCCCAGCAGGAAGGTTGAGGAGCACCACCACAACAGCCTGAGGTGCCACCAGGTTAAACCTCGCAGTGGGAATGGGTACCAATAGCTACCAGATCTGACACCGTCCAACTGCACAATAGCTGCTAATGGGTTTGATTTTGTTAGGACATGACCGAGTGCATGTACTGCTGCAGAACTTACAGGTGACAGCATTTAAGGGCCTACCAGATGAGGTGGCGTTTCATAAACTCTTTATAAAGCACCATGTAAGCACTCCAGCCTCCCTGTCAAACTAGTCCAGAAAGAATTTAGAACAAACAAGAGTTAGATTTGAATCGGCTTGATTTCTGCCTCTGTTCCTCTTTGCACAATCTTCTAAAGAAAACTCTAAAAGCCAGTTTCTCAAATAGCATCAATCAGCCTCATCAACAAGAAGAAACAGTTTTGGGATATCCTTGTGGCAGATCCCACTTGTTTGGATTCTTTTACTTCAATTCAAACACCTTGTACAGAAAGGAAAAATGAAAACGTGTTTCTACAGCTGCAAACCGCCGTAGCTCAGCTGGGCTGTCAAATTCATTGCAAGGCTACGGGTGCCCAGATTGGCTGTGCTGGTCTTTTAATAGAAAAAAAGGAAAAATAAAATTTGAACAGGAGCAATTAAATGAAGATCAACTCCATATTAATCCGTTACATTAACTGACACATGATGCAAGTCACAGAGACTGCAGATGGACATCTGAGGAGCTTCTCAGGAGCGATCCATGATGGACAAATGATAACATGTTCTCTCTCTTCTCATTTTCAGCCAAATATTTCTGTATGAGAATAAATGAGGCCCAACGACATTTCAGTGGCTGCATATTCCTGTAGGTAGGGTTGTGACAGCTGCCACCCAGAAGCTGTGAGATGCACACAAAAGCAGTGGCAGCCACAGTCAGACTGACTCGTCAGCTGTCGTCAGCTGTCCAGGAATCCATTCCTGATATTATTAATTTTTGTGTCACTGTTAAAATTTTACTGGTAAATCCTTTACTGTTGGGCTTACATTCGGACAAGTTTTCCTTGAGTTTGGACGAATTCAGGCATTTAAGAGTGTGACTTTGTTTCGAATTTCAACTCAGCAACAGCCTACAAGAGGGTAAGTCACAATGTCACTGGCACCCAGACTGCAATAAAGGAGTTTAAATCAACCTGGCTGCAGAAAGACAGAGATAAATGAGGACTTCTTATTTTCACCTGGAAAAAAAAGAAATTTTCCATGGACCGTTTTGTCCCTTTTACTGTCTTCAGCAAGTGGGGGAGATGCATCTCTCTGATGAAGCGACTGTCCCTTCTCTTTAAGTGTGTGAAACTGTCATCTTCAAGAGAGGTGACATTGCTCAGACAAGCCCAGTGAGGAGAAAGTAGGCGCCGGCCCTGGGAAGGGAGAAGTGGAACAGGGCAGGGACAGGACAGAGGACAGACTCGTGAATAGTCCCTCCAGGCGAGGTTTGGCTGGGTCGGTCCCGAACACGAGCGCGGTGGTCCCACTCTTCACCCCGTGGCTGGTGGGACAGCAGGGACAGGAGGGTCCCCTGGATGTGAGCTCCATCCCGTGCCCACACAGCTTCATCCTCCCGCCCCATCTCTTCCAGTCAACACCCTACATCCAGCCGATAAACCAACAGAAAAATGTAATTACTGTTTTCACTTTCTCCAGATGTGCTAAAGTTCTATGTTTCTAGAGATGCTTGGTGATCCTCTGGCACTACAGCAGCACAGTGGCTTTATTATTAGTTTCATTTCACCTGCATAACCTGTTTTTTCAGCGTTCGTGCCTGTCTCACAGTTTGCACGAAAACCAGCCCTGACCCCAACCCACAGGCTTTACTTTTGTCAATATTAAAGCACTATGGGAACACGGATCCCTAACAAGCTCCTCTGTCCTACGTTTAATCCGAACATTTTCCAGGAAGCCGGATGTCACCAGCTGGTGTGGTCTTATTTGTCACGACAAATAGTCATTTCTCCCATCAACCAGGATATCAAAAAATCACTTTCAATTACACCAATCAAATCTGAGTCACCCCAGCACGGCTGAGCCCTGACCATATTTTGGTCGGGAAATACAAGAGAGGACACGACTGCTTATTTGCTAAAAATAACACAACACTCTCTGCAACAACTGACATATTACTCTCTTCTCCTTCCTAGGAAAATTCCAGTGGGGTTATTTTCACTCCAACTACATCACCTTCCAAGTTTAAATGTTTTTTTTATTGTGCGTTCTGTAGAACACAGTGTTGTTGCCACTTCAAACTGGGTGCCCTGTATAATTCTGGAAGCAGCTGTATGTCATTCAGCTGGGAATAACATAATATACAGTTTGGTTTACGTAAAACGCATTTAAAAAGCACATTGGGATCCATCCAGCCAAGCCAACTACACTTTATGTTCCTCTGGAATACGGGTAGCGTAATGTCACTGTAAATCATCATGGAGGAGGAGAACCAAGAACGGCTGGAGGAGCCCATCCAAGAATTAGGGGCAGCACGGGACCACGCTCCAAAGCAGGCACAGGGAGAAGAACCCAACAAAGTTCCTTCCATCAGTGTCAGAACCCAACCATTTCTCCTTTCTGGGTATTTCTACAGTGAAAGCAGAAGAAAACATTTCCTGGAGCCAGGAATGACAGCGCTGTGATGCTCAGGTCTCACCAGCCAAGCTGCCCACAGTCAGCCTGTGCACGGGCAGAGATTTCATTTTTATAACTGGGAAAATTTTTTGGGGTAATTCTTCCCCCAGTGATTTACTGAAATCACAAATTAGCCAGTGCACTTCTTGTCACCCCCGCTAACACCACCACCCATCCCGTTACTCCACCATGAGTCTCACTGTCTGCGCAGATGCTCTTTTAAGGCAAAAAGAGCATTTTTCCCCACCTGGCCAGCCGCCGGGCAGGCAGCAGGGGCTCTTTCCTCTGCTCCGGTTCCTACAGCAAGCTGAAACCAAGGAGATCTCCCCCTTAAAGCGAGAAATTCATTCTTGTATTCATACCACATTTTCATTATTAAGAAAAAATATGATTCATAAAATATTACCCCATGGCAATATGCAGACTTTAATATTAATGCCATTTTATTAAAAAAAAAAAAAAGAAAAGAAAAATCTCCTCTAAACCAGACAAGATTAAACTCAAGCATGAATAAATACCAGTATCTGCCTGGAAGCTACATCTGTGCCCTTTGTCTCCCATCTTTTGACATCTCCAGAAAGCTACAGAACATTTTCTCTTGAGCAAAAAGCCCCTCCTGGATATGGATGTGCTCAGAAGTCTTTGAGAAATGTCTAGAGGTCTTGCGATTTCTCACTCTCGTGGCTCCCAGCTGGCTGTGTTCCACCACTGGGTTTTACACACTAATTAGACGGCCGCTCAAATCACTGTTACTCTCTTCTTTTGCTGCAGAAAACGGCCCTTTTTGTGAGTTTCTGCCTGTTCTGCTGACTGATAAGAAAACGTGCGTTCAAATTGGTCCTGTTTGTAAGAACGAGGACTGAGAGTACCGAGAACCAGAAGGCTCGGGTCACTCTGGGCCCTTTCAAATCACTGACACGCACCCCGGTGCCGGGATGCCCACCCTGGTGCTTTTAAGCTCCCATTTTATTCTTGGCAACCTCATCTCTGGGAGGCAGCGTAACCGCACGTCTCAGTGCGGGAAGATAAAGAAACATTCATTTTCCATTTTAATGGCTTACTGGGAACCAGTTCAGGGGGAATGAAGAGACTGATGACGAGGGACAGTGACCACCATCGGGCCCCAGTTACTCACCCGTGCCAGGCTGGTTCCAGAAGGGACTTTATAGGGGACGTACTTCCTGTAGATGTGCCCAACCCGCGAGCAGGGAACGTCAAACATGCCGCCTCCACACATCCACACCTGGACAGGGGACAGAACGCAAACCAAAGAATGATTTCTGGAGACAAATGGGGCAAAAAAAGGCATTTTATGTAATGGGTTCTGTGCAGACCTGGGCCACGGTCCCAGCAGTGGCTGCCTTCTCCATGCTGATAGCTGGGGTGAGGCAACGGGCGGAATCTCACCATGTAAAAGCAGAGCACGTCCAAAATAAAATCATAAAACACATTTAGAATATCTACCAAGGGTCCTCCTGCAACACTGTGTTTGCTGTTTAAAACATACAGGACCAGAATTTGAAAAGGTGGCTATGTGAGTAAAGGAAACCATCCATCAGAAGTAATTCTGATGTCCTTCCCAGGACTGTTCTCACCTGTTTAATCCCACGCTACCTAATTCACTGAAAAACATGTTCATAAACAAAAATCTTAAAAATGTGTTAAAATAAGTTGGGTAGTGCCATAGTTAAAAAAATTGTTATTCACCTTTCTACTAATACTTTGTTTGGATGTTACACCACTTGCACCTTTTTTAGCAGGAACCTCCTCTCTGTGGCCATCTTCGAACAGCCCAGTGCCCCAGTGAAAGCACAGACCTAAAGTTACTATTTGCTCCTGTTATTTAAATGAAGGTGTTATTTTAAAGGATAGGCAAGATATTACAGTGATTAATCAAGGTTTCTTGGCTTTGAAGAGCGGGCAACAGAGCAGTCTGACTCAGAGGAAGGTCAGCCACAGAACAAATGTAAAAGACTAGAAAGCAGATATATATATATATATATATATATTCCAGTATTACTGTAACTCAGAAAACAAGAGCTGAATTAGATTTATATTGCATTTCCTCTGAAGCCCTAGGACAGCAGGAAAAAAAAAAACCCAAACAAAAACAAGAGAAGAAAAGGAGAAAAGGAATTAGGAAAAAAAACCCCTGTCAGATATGCCGAGGCAATAACAAGCAGGAGGAAATAACACTTTGTGTTAGGCTTATATTTGATAGATATAAACCTTGAAAACGCCGTGCAGCACCCGGGGTGCACTGTGCCGGGTAATGGAAATGAATCCTGGGCTGCCCCGGAGGACGCTCAGCAGCTGCTCCTCTTTATCTTTTAGCTCCAGAATGATTCTAAAGGCTTTTTTTTTTTTTAATATTTTCCTGGGAAGATCAATTCTGGCAACTCTGTCTTTAAAATGTGCATTTTTACGTCACTGGGCCTAAATGCAAGAAATTGGAGAATCCCTTCTGCCTTAACCACTGCAGACCTGCAGCGCAGGGTGGCAGGGAGGTGTGTGCCGTGGCACACGGGTGACAAGGTTTCACACCACCCAGGCTGCTCCATGTACCCGAGGAGTGAGCAACGAAACTCTCGGTGTCACCAATGTCTCCTTCCTACAGCACTTTTTTTTTTTTTAATATTTTCCTGGGAAGATCAATTCTGGCAACTCTGTCTTTAAAATGTGCATTTTTACGTCACTGGGCCTAAATGCAAGAAATTGGAGAATCCCTTCTGCCTTAACCACTGCAGACCCGCAGCGTCGGGTGGCAGGGAGGTGGGTGCCGTGGCACACGGGTGAGAAGGTTTCACACCACCAAGGCTGCTCCACATACATGAGGAACGAGCAACGAAACTCTCGGTGTCACCAATGCCTCCTTCCTACAGGAGCAACCAACCTCCTTCCTACAGGAGCAACCAACCTCCTTCCTACAGGAGCAACCAGCCCCAGGAGCAACCAGCCCGCCCCGCAGCTGACGCACAACCCAACCTCCTTCCTACAGGAGCAACCAACCTGCCCCGGGGCCGACGCACAAAGCGTCGGGTGGCAGGGAGGTGGGTGCCGTGGCACACGGGTGAGAAGGTTTCACACCACCAAGGCTGCTCCACATACATGAGGAACGAGCAACGAAACTCTCGGTGTCACCAATGCCTCCTTCCTACAGGAGCAACCAACCTCCTTCCTACAGGAGCAACCAACCTCCTTCCTACAGGAGCAACCAGCCCCAGGAGCAACCAGCCCGCCCCGCAGCTGACGCACAACAGACACCGGCCAAACCCAAACCAACACCATCCCGGCTTGGAAAGAGCAAAAGAAGAGCAGTTTATGCGCCAACTAGATGCTACACCACAATTTATCCCTACAGAGCTCCTTCCAACACAGGGTTGCAAAGGACTTCCTAGGGATGGTTGGAAGCCAGCGCGGGCTGTAGAAGAGCTGAGGTTGTGGTTCTGAGGCTTCACTCCCCACTGGAGCTTATAGAATCAGAGAATCCCCTGGGTTGGAAGGGACCTTTCACAAGCTCAAGAGTTTTCAGCTCTTGGGTGAATCACGCTCTTTTCACATCACTCCTTTGTCTTTAAAATTGAGTTCTGCTTGCTCCTGCCTTTTTTTTTTTAAATACCCTGCCTTATCCACCTAGTTTAGGAGCGATCCAGCCTAGGACTATCTGGAACATGTCAATACTGTGTACAGGAGAACGAGACGCCCATCCATATGCTGCTCCCTCACCACAATCACTGCGGGAAGAGGCTCGCGACTGTTGGGCAGCGGAGGATGTGGAACATCAACACACAGCAAATCATGGAAAAGACTGATTTGGGGCTGATTGAGAAATATGCTGAGAGTCAGCAACGAGAGAGACACAAAAAGGGATGGGAAAAGCAAACACAGAGGGAATGGGTGGGAGAGGAACACAAAGGATGCCAGGGAAAGCTGTCAGCATAGTGCCCTGAGCAGTGTGTGAGGAGCACAGACTACAGACAGGAGAAATGTGCTGCCACAGGGAGGGCTGAAAAAGTTGTAGGAAAAAAGAATATGAAAACTTTAGGGGATTTTTCAGTCACTCTCCCTGAAATATAAGCCCGAAGAACGGATTTAGCTGTTGTAGAAAAGAAGAAAGAAGAAAACTTCCCTGGGAACTTTCCCATGCAGTGGGAACGTTCAGCTGAATGCAAGAAAAAAACTGGAAAACAGGGTCACTGACTGCAGATGGGCAGTCGATGGGCTCCCAACAGCAAACCCATTGCCCTGGGGTGCAGGGGGGACGCCCCTGAGGGGTACTGCAACCAAACCCTGTAAGCTGGGAGCTGATGGCTGTGGATATCTCAAAGTACTCACCCGCCCCTCTGAAATGCTGTGAAAAGCAGAAATATTGCATGTTCCTCAGCTCTTCTCACAGCTTTCACTGCACTGAGAGGTGTGCTGCTCCCCCACGCCCTGCCTCCTGCCGCCAGACCAGCCGCGGAGGGAACGGGTAACGACGATGGTAACCATGATAAAGAAAGGGATTAATGAACTCAGAAACCAGGGATGAAGAGCACCTGGAAGATGCATGGGATGAGGACAACCCAGCTCTGGGTAGAGGGGACTGGAGAGAGCAGCAGCAGGTTTGTTAAGGTGTGATTTATGATGCCCAAGGAAGGTCCAGGGCAAAGGATCTCCAGTGAACACAGCAAACGAGTCTCTCTCACCGCTCTGTATTGTGGAGATTACTACATAAACCGTGCCTTTCTAACACATTTAAATGTAGGATTTCTTCAGCAGTGGCTTCCCTGGTTCCTGAGAGGAGAGGCTACTCATCAGCGCTTCGCCAGCCTTCCCCAGCCCAGCACACGCCGAACAGCAGCGTCAGCGAGATACCAGATATCATCTTAATTAAAAAATTGATCCCGGGGTTATGCTGCCAAAAAATTTAAAATGCTGCGCGTTATTTCTTATGTAAAAATTAATCTAAGCAACTATTTAATGAAGGGATCACGTTTGGAGGGGGGGGCTGCGGCTGCCCCACCACCCACTGAACGTGGGAACCGCGGTTAATCCTCCACAGCAACAGTTCTGAGTAAGAAAAGAGCAAGAAGAGAAATATGTTGGTTTTTTTGTAGCCAAGGAAATAAAGGTCAAGCAAATTTTTAAGCAGCGGGGTTTTGCTATTTTTTTTTTTCTTTTTAAACCCGTCTCCCTGTGTTCCTGACAGCTCAGCACCTGGAACAGTCACTGCCTGAAGCCGGAGGAAGTCTCCTTTCCTGCCATGGCACGGCTCCAAATGTCACAGACACATGATAAAGCACACTGCATTTTGGAGAAACGTACTGATTTGCACTGCAGAAAACATAGATTCACTGCGGACTCATTCTCTGTAGCACCTTTCTTTTTTTCCATCGAACACCCTTCCCCCCAAACATCTATTTTTGCTCACGCTGCCCAGCTTCTCCCACTGTACAACAACAAAATGCCAGTTCCCCTACCAAAAAGGCTTTTGCTCAGGGCTGTGCTCTGTGCTGAACTCTGTGTCTGTCACCCCTGGTCACATCTAGCAAAACATCCCGAGAGAAACACCAAAATCAACACTTTTCCCCCAAACTCCCCTGCTGGAGCATCTTCCTAAACCTGTCTAGCTAACTTGTCCACTTACATAAGTTTTAAGATGACTGAATCCATAGCTATAGTAGAAACTGCGGAAGCAGAAACCTTTCCCAAGCAAATATTGGTGATTTTGACACAATAAAAACCAGTCCTTTCTGTTTCTCCCTCCTGCCTCTATGATTTTTCTCCCATTCTTTACCATTCCAGCAGTCTTCCTTTTAAAACTTACACCTGTTAAACTCTTCAAAGAGAAAGTTGTTCCTGTTTGGCAATCAATTTCAAAGAGTATTTTTTTCTTCTTTTAAGACTAATAAGCAAGGACAGGGACCCTTGCTTATTAGTAGGACATACATTAGTAGTATGTACTGCTGAGATGAGCCAGGAGATAGGACTCAAAGAAGACCCAGTGTGACATAGCTGCCCCCAAAAAAATCCATCACTAGAGGAAAACACCCTGGGACAATCTAGGGTCTCAATTTCCAGTGCTGTTACCATGGTTTCTGTACAGAGACTGGAGAGCATTACAAGCATATTCTTTGTGACAACAAATGAAGAGAATATTTGAAATAGGATAATAAAACCTTGGGGTGACCCGTCAGAGACCGCTGTGACAGCTACTAGTGATTACTGACGTTTGCCTCTGGAACAACCCAAATGGACAGCATGCTCTAAATACAGCCCAGCTATTGGGTTTTTAGTGATTACTGACGTTTGCCTCTGGAACAACCCAAATGGACAGCATGCAAATCGATATACTCTAAATACAGCCCAGCTATTGGGTTTCATTTTGCTGGGGTATAAGAACGAGGAGGAGAAACGTGAGAGTTAACAGAACCCATTCTGTTGTCCCCGATAACCCCCGTAAGGACGTCCCGCGTCGGGCCACGCCGCGTGTTTTGTTCGACACAACGGCTTCAGCTCCGCTCTTCTAATCGCTGCTGAAACCCAGACCCAGCGAGATGTACGATATTAGTCATGGCTGACATCCTGAATTTAGTTACTGAGCTTTGCACTGTCGGGGTTTGGAAGTAGGTTGGAAAGGTCCTGGAGCTAAATGCGAACTCTCATTTCAGTTCCAAGCTCTATCCAAATACGCCTGACTCAACTCATCTATGTCATGAAGCTCTATCAAGTCATTGAAAATCTTTGCCATGAGGTCTTTGGGTATCCTGGAACACAATAAACCTAATTGTCAGGATCACACACGTTAGTCCTCCTCAAACTAATGCAAACTAATGCATGTGGAAAGTAACAAGATTTTCAATTTGACATTAAAAGCCAAGTAGCTGCTTTGAATACACATTGACATAGAGGATATGAGGACAAACCATGGCTGGTTGTACATAACCTGGGCACTTGGAAACTCCCTATATTTCATCATCGCAATTATTCAAATGTAATTAAAAAATCATCTGATTTTGAAAATGTAGCCAGTAGATAACAGCTCAGAGCAGCCGAGCTGATCTAGTCATTCACTGCTACTGAAAGAGCTCCTTCCTCCTATGGCTTTTTCTTTCCATTTCCATCCATTTCCCTGAGCTGACTCCAGACAACTACCAAAAATGATTAAACTCGCTGATCGAACAGAAAATGATGCATTTTTCTCTTTTTTCTGGATTAGTGCTCTCATGGACTATTGAGCTGAGCTTAACACCTGAGCATGAAGTAAATGCAGCGTCTGAGAGAAGGTAAGGGGAGAAGACAGAGGAAAGGAAGAAGGTAGAACCTCATTCTCTGATGGTGGGAAGCTACTGGGCTTTCAGAGGGAACTGCATCCAGTGGGACTTTTGCATGCTTTCTGCAGCATATGTTTATGGCATAGTTCTCTGTGAAATGAGTGGAAATTCCTAAAGAAAAAAAGTACTATTGTACTGAATTAATTTTAGTTAAAAGACAAAAGCCAGAATGAATGACAGCATCATGACCACAAAGCACATGAGCAATGAAAATCCAGAGGTGTATACGAAGTATCCTATAAGGTGACTTGATGACTTACCTTAAAGGAGATTTCATACTGCTCTCCTCCCCATATTTCCAATCCTGGATCATATCCTCCCAGCTCCCAAAACCATTCCCGGTTAACGGCAAAGAGACCTCCAGCCATGACGGGGGACCTGAAGGAAGAGTGAAAAGAAGTGTGAAAGGCAGGAACCATCACGCCGTGCTTGAAAACCAGAGATCAGCCACGTACAGGCACGAGCAGGACTGAAGATGTCCAGCCCGTGTGTCTGGTCTGGTGTCCGCGACTGCAAAGTTACAGAAGGAAGAGACAAGGGGTACTGTAAACTATCAACATTTACTTTTATTCACCCCAAAATGGACTCTAGATGAGAAATAGGCAATGCGATAGGAAAGACACAGGGCATGGGAGACAGTCATGCTTAAACTTTTTTTTTTTGTTGTTAAATAATTCAGTTTATTACTAAATAAACCCATAGAACAGTAAAAGAAAGGGACTCCAGAAACCTGCCCAAGAATTGTATGTAATCCCGGTACTCCACGTGAAGGAATTCCCATTTAGGAGTTAGAAAACTTTCCAGTTCTGTCAGTGTGGTAGGTGCAGGCGAGAGGAAGGCAGGAGGGACGGCTACAGGGCAGCCGGCGGGAGCCACACGGCTGCTTTCCCACTGCAGCATTTTAAACTCCTCAACTTCGTCTCACAGCGGTGATTTAACTCAAATTTAACTCACAGCGGTGATTTAACTCTACGGCAAATCATTTGCTGTTCTTCCCATGTTTCCATCTATTCCACAAATAAACACCTGGAATTTACTTGAATTAACTCAGCCCCTTCTGCAGATAATGTAGAAAACAAATGGGATATTTAAAGTTAGAGAATATTAATGAAAAGTGCATTTAAAATGTGTAAGCAGGAATTTTTGTACTGGAAACTAGGAGTTGCAGGTTTTTTCCCCCCAATTACCAAGAAGCTCGTGTTTCTAACGCAGTGAACACAGGGAGAGCTCTCAGGATTCAAATGCTGCTCGCTGACTCCTTGAATATGGATATTTCACCTTTCACTTCTGTAAGATAGTTTTTAAAATACATATATTAGATTATATCTTCTATTAAACTACCCGTTTTCACTACGAGGGAGCTCTGTTTTTAGCAGACTAATTCTATTTTCCTTGTGAGATCATATTTTTAAAAGCCCATAGAAGGTGCAATATTCTAACTGGCAAGGCCACGCACTGTAACATACGCTGAATGCTAATACGTTTTAACTTTTATTGACATCTCATACCTCAAATATTGACTGTTCCTTCCACATATGAATAAATTCAATGGAGATTTTATTAGGAAGCTTCCCCCGGGGGTTCTGACTGCTACAATGCATTTCCAATTCCTACTGAAGTAAATCTAATTACAACATGCCCTTTGTGGCTCCGGGTTCTAAATAATCAAAACCCAATGTCCCTTCATGAGGACGGACGTGCACGGGGAGTGCTGATAGCTAAATCTTCACTGGCAGGAGAAATGAAGTCCCAGCAGTCACCGGGGGAAGGCAGGATTTCCCTAATTCTCTGAGGTGCAATAACTTTCAGGAGCATTTCTCTTGACGCAGGTAGTGGGCTGTGAAAAAGAGCATCCCTGCGAGAGAATTGGATTGAAGACGAAAGAATTGAAGACTTCAGATTGCAAAATAAAAGGCAGATAGCTTACAAATGACACTTTATACCTAATCTGCAGATTTTTCCCATGGTAATGCTGGGTAAAGAACCCCCTTGTTATTTAGATGCCAGCTTGTGAAAGTTCAGAACATTTATTACAACCCGTGGTAGCACCAAACAGCGACTGTAGCAGCAGCAAACTCAACTTGTGCTTCTTGGGAGTAATTAAAAAAAAAAAAAAAAAAAAAAAAAAAATATTTTAAGAAAAAAAAGCTGACAATTGCTCTTAAACCCCAAAGCTTGCAAGAGCTGAACTGGAAGGGGCACAGGACATAGCGTTGCACCATTAGCTAATCTGACAGTCTGGACCGTATGTGCTCATGGTATGGACTGCTGTAGAAGACTAAATACAAAGTAATATCCTTTTTGGGGGAAAATAAAAAAAAAAAAAAAAAAAGAAAAAAGATATTTTACGTAATGTTGCTCCATTCTATTCCATTCCACCCCATGTTCTGACACTTGCTCTGCAGGAAGAGCCATGGTGAGGACAGAGAGGGTGGGTCACAGGTTCTCACGGGGGCTGTGTGACGCTGGCCTCGTGGCACAGGACACGTGTCCCACCCCTGCCACGGGCTGCCGTGGGACAGACCTTCAGTCCTCTCCAACAGCCCGAGCCCAGAGTCCAGCCCCACAGCCAGAGCTGATATCAAAAGCCCTTTTGTAGCCAGCGGGATCACCCACGCAGATAAGGACTGTGCTGGCCATAAAGGAGGAGAATTAATCTCCTGTTCAACGGCTTCCGCGTTGAAATGTCAAGTACAACATGGTGTTTGTACAAGGCATTTGTCACGAAACGGCCAACTCAGACACTCAAACAATCCGGCTCCAGCTACTGCAGCACAGGATTATGTGAGTCATTAGGGTGCAAAGCTGTGAAACAGTCAAAAAATTAAAAAGGACAAAGACTCCCAAAACATCAGAAAAGGTGAAGCGACAAAGAGTTGCTAAACTTAAAGCCAGTTACACAAACCTCCCAGGCGAGCAGCATCGCACAGACTCGCTGGCTGCACCCTGGAGAACAGTACTGCAAGCTAAAGCTCATCCAAAAACGGCCCAACAGGTCATGGATTCCTGAGCTGAGATGGAAAAAGAGTGATTTACTAGGAGCGCAAAAAGACCCCACCCACCCCAAGAAAATAATTTTTTGCAAAAAAAGAGCCTGAGGAAACGGGTGGCAAACGCTTTGTGTGAAAAGATTAAGGAAGCACACTAACAGAAGTGCAACAGTAGCTTAACTGCAGCCAGGAAAGAATTGTGTAACCTCACATAATTGACATGCAGAGGAAGAAAAGAGACCATTTACGACTTTTTGAGGCAAGAGAAAGAACGACAGGGGCTGAAAAGGAGGGTGAAGTTGCCGGCACTGGAAACCAAGGGGGCACACGGCAAACAAAGGAAGTGTGTGGCAGGGCTCGTGGTTCCTACACGGTGAGAGGGATGCACACACACTGACCTGAGGGATTCACGAAGGTGCAAAAAGGCAAGAGGAACTTTGAAGGGGTGCAGAAAGACACCTAGGAAATGAGAATGGAAAGCACCCGAGCTAGATGAAGTGTACGGTGGGTACACTGGTGTTGAGACTGGAAGGTGCCCAATGTATGAGCCATAGGATGAGGGGGAACAGCTTTACACCAAAAGAGGGGAGATGGAGACCAAATATTAGGAAGAACTTGTTTGGTGTGAGGGTGGTGAGAGCCTGGCCCAGGTTGGCCAGAGAAGCTGTGGCTGCCCCATCCCTGGAGGGGTTCAAGGCCAGGCTGGATGGGGCTTGGAGCAACCTGGGCTGGTGGGAGGTGTCCCTGCCCAGGGCAGGGGTGGCACTGGGGGAAGCTTTAAGGTCCCTTCCCACCCAAACCATTCTATGACTCTACGGTTCTATGATCCTTATGAGTCCCTTCCAGCTGGAAATATTCTATGAGTCATCAAAAAAAAAGAAAAAAGGCAACAGGCTTAGTTTTTACTTAACCCGTCAATTAAAATCATGTTCAAATAGATCACTGTGCTGAATCATGCAGCAGCCAAGTTGCATTACTTAAAATTAACTCACAAGTACCTATATAATTACAATTCATTTTTAAATTAGACGTTGGGTATTTTTGAATTATTGAGATAAAACCCCATTCTTCTCAAACGGACAGCCAGAAAATCAGCTGCAGAGAGTCAGCTACAAAGAACCCTCCAAAAGCCCTTGAGGTTCAGTTTATAAAAATTTGCACTGTAATTTCATCATGTGACTTCTTTGTATATTTTACATATGTTTCTTAGCACATTTCTAAACTTCATTGAAAAACTAATCTTGTAAAAGAGTGATGAGCCCTTCTGTGGGTAATGACGCTGAGGCCCATTTAGCCCTCCCTCCCATATTTAGAAAATTAACGAAGCTGTGGAAGAAGTGAATCAGTCGGGTAGAGACGGAAGAAGATGTTGTCAATTTATGGTACATTTTCATGTTGATGGGCATCGTTTGTATTCAGGGTTGTCCCTTAAAAACATAATCTTTGAAAATTATATGTAAAAATAAAGATTGATGGGAGGCAAAATGTTACCAACTATCACTAAAATAGCAACTTACTTCAGCCCTCCTGGCTTTTGATAAGCTTCGGTTTGAAACATGTCTAGAACAATAGAATAAGGGTTGTTTTTTTAAAAGTATTTACTCTTTCTCAACTTGTCTAGATTCTTAACTATACCAGATTCTGCATTTAAAGTTAATTCAAGGTCAGAATCCAAACAGATAAGTTGTGTTTTGCACAGCCTAAGAATTTCGGAAGTGGAGGAAGTCACTTTGTTTCTGGTTCTTGTAAAAATCCAATTATTTTGATTGCAAAGGCACAATGAATGTCCTACTATCATCTTTTCCCCCTGGGTTATTATGAAACATGAGGCTGGAACTTTAAGGCAATGCCAACACTCTAACTGGAGTGCACATCTTACTTTTAAACAGGAAAAATCTGTTCAAGCTAAGAAGGAAGTCTGCGTCTATGGAAAGCAGCACTCAGGTAAGTGGACATCTCATTTGAGACTGAGCTTCTTTTTTCAAATGAGGAACAAGGCCAGCAGCAATTCTTTATGCTCTCTATCCTGGCTGTGCAGTAACTCCATCACCACCCCCAGGCAACAGGGAATAACGACAGTTCCTTAAATCCCATCACTGCCTTCCAGGCTGCTCTCTGGGGAGACGTGGGGCTGAACAGGGTTACCATCCACTCACAACGGGGTGCAGAGGTGCAAACCAGAGCATCTATCCACCTCCTCCAGCCCTTACTTTTGCTTTAACGATTTACTTTAGCCCAGCGTAGCATCATAAGCAAAGCCTAAACTCAAGGAGAAATGATTAAATTTCACTAAAGATGCTGAATGACTCCTCTTAAAACACAGCCACTGGCCCCAACACAGGCTCTGCTTTCCAGAACAGCCCTTTGATTCAGCCCTTGTCCTCCCAG